TTTCAGGCATATCGATTTCCATGCTCACATGTGATTGCTGCCTGTGCATCGGTAAGTATTGACTTTTCGCAATATGTTGATGATGTTTACTCTGTGCAAAATGTCGTTCATGCATATTCATCACAATGCCCCTTGGAAAATGATGGTAATATTCTTACACGCAATGAGTGGAAGTTAGTGCCTGATGAGACAAGAATCAGAGATAAAGGAAGACCAAAATCATCTCGCATTAGGAATGAAATGGATTGGGTTGAGTCACAAAATAGAACCCAATGTAGTAATTGTCATCAAATTGGTCACAATGTACGTCAATGTACTTCTATATCACCTAATCAGTAGTATTGAAGAGTTTATGTATGAGACAACTAGTCATTTGTTAACTATCAGTATGTGGGTTTGTAGTTTATATCCTTGGCATTTATATACTTGTAGACTCTATCACCTTATTTCTTTTTATAAGAAACATGAATCACATAAGTAAATGTAAATCGTACGATGAATAACATAAGTAAATGTTCATGGAACGATGATTAATATGAAACAAACTACCATATGTTATAAAACATCTAGTAAAGGTACACAAAATATGTATAATTAGTTTATACAAAAACTCAAGCTCTATCATCGTGTGGCTGGTCGGGTTGATGTGGGGTCAATATGCACTCCCTAGGCCGATCTCTGGCTCCACGATGTGGGTTAATGCGAACCTCTGCAGGTGGAACGTCTACGGTTGCTTCGAAGTCAGCATTCAAATCTATTCCATGACTATAAGAGGTATCATATGTTGTCCCAATAACTGCATCTGGTGCTGGTGTTGGTGCTAGTGGTGTTAGAATAGGTACATCATATGGAGGCGGCGTCAAGAATGGTGATGGACATGGGATATAACACTCTGTGGTCAGGAATGGTGATTGAGGAGTCTGTGGCGAATGCTGGGTGGCCTGAGATGAGTGAAAATATGTAGGTGCACTAACAGGTTGTGTGTGGAAAGGAAACTGTGAGGGAACATAGAATACTCCATCAGGACGCTCAGGTATAGGTGGAAGAGATCAGTCTGTCGCATGTACCTCTGTGCGTCTACGCTGTAATCTCTTGCCTTCCTTACGGTCCCTCGGTTGACGAACATCTACAACTGGATCCTCACTATTGCCACTCTATATTGGAGGCTCAGATTAAGAAATAGGTTCCATAATACGGTTCAAATCATTCTTCAAAATTAGCATAGATTAACACAGGTCTCGCATCTCATCAAAGGTGAAAGAATCATGGTCATCAGTCATCAAGTAGTGGGCTATCTCAAGTCCATCGCCCTATAAAACAAAAAAAATTGTATGTTAACAATGTCATTACAAATACACATAAGTAAATGTCTTAAATAGTTTACACTTACAAGTAATGATAAGACAGCTGCGTCTCTTGTCATCCAACGTCTAGTGTGAGCTCTATACCACCGCATATACTCTGAGTTGAAACTTAGCTGACCAATCTGGCGGTTATTGGTCATGACCCAATCTCTCCTTCTCTCCCAAATGTCTAATACATCCCTCAGCTTCTCTTGTCAATTCTCTATTGCCTTCCCACGCAGAGTTAAGTCATGTAGTGCATCTGGCTGATATGGGGCACGAGGTATATGTTAAACCATACCAAATTGCCGCATTACTCGATCTGGTTGGTGCCACTCACACACCTGAAAACATATCAGAGGCACGACAGCCCTCCACAACTCCATCCCCTCACGACATATAGCTGGTAACGAATTAATCAAATCAATAGAATATGGTTGCCAAATTATCTGCACACAAATACACATATTTAGATTTGTTTTCATAATGATAACTAAATTAAAATATGACTATAACATATGGCGTGGGTGTTAATCCAGATTTACCTCTTCACCACTAAGCATGTCAAATTTATACAAAAGGTATGTTAAACATATTAAGGACATCAATATTTAATATTACCTGGTAGCATATGGAAGATGGAGTCGTGTGTGAAGCGGGTTTCCAGGAGCTACAAATAGAAATCTATCCCATGCCCACATCACAAGTAATGCAGCTAATCCATCTAAACCATGCCGATCAATATTGGTGGCAATACACAGCTCTCTATACAAAAATCTCAATACTGCAGATCCCCAACTATATTCACCAGTGACAGCAAAATCCTGAAGTAAAGGTAAGTACCTCACTGAGACTCTACTGCTGGAGTGATCACTCAACATAAAACCCCCAATCAACAACAACATATAAGCCCTAGCAAATCAGGTGATCTATAAAAGATTTTGTGCATGCATCGCCACATGGGTAAAATGTTAGTCTAGCCAACTCGTCTTCAAGAAGCTACCAACAAAATCTGCACGTGATGGTCTAATCCCTAGGCTCTCCTCAACAATATCAGCATAATTACCTCCAATAGGTGCTATCACAGGTCTTCCATCAATCCGTAAGCCTAACAATACAGATATATCCTGCAAAGTGATTGTACACTCGCCTGGAGGCAAGTGAAAAATGTGTGTCTCTGGCCTCTATCTCTCTACTAATGCTGTAATCAACGGGAGGTCTAATGGAAACTGACATACGTGAGCAATCCCAGTAAATCCCGCAAGCTCTAAATGTGGAAGGATCTCCTCTGGAACACCATCCAAACCAGCTGGAATAAATTGACTCTTCCTAACCTTCAAAATAGGATGATCCCGACCATCCCAAATATGTTCAGACCATGAATATTCTGTAAATGCAATAATGAAAGATCATCTGGTCTAGGATGAATGACCCTATTCTGTCCTGAAGATGAAGCCATCTTCACAAAATATAAAATATAACATTGTCAAAATTTTAAACTTTAATATAAATTATACAAAATAAATTTATAATTTAATCATAAATAATATTACATAATTATTATTATAATTATTTTTTCTATATTATTTTATATCACTCTAATAACTTCAATTACATTACTAAATTTCTTTTTTCTACCAAGATTATAATTTTTAATGATTAATAACTTAATCTCATCTTATTAGTATCACTCTAAAATTTAAATTCAATATATACACTTATTATTTTATCATAAATAAACTTATATAATTCTAATTATTTATTTTAAATTATTTAATATCACTCCAATAATTTAAACCATAATTAACCATAAAGAAATATATTTTCTTTTTTAATTATTTAATTAATTCAAATTTTTGCTACTATAATCTTTTTATATAAATGTATACGCTTAATTTTAATGCTCTCAATTTTGACCTTCTTAACATTTTTGTAATTATTTGTTCATTAATCATAAATCAATTTTTTAATTTATATTCTTAAATGCTGTTTAATCTAAAAAACATAATTTATGTTATAATTTTGTTACACTTTTTTCTATTTATTATTTTTTATATAATTAATCAACCATAGAACTATTTTATATTTTTCTATTTTCAATTTTATTTAACTATTTATTATTTGATTTTTAATTATTTTTAAAATTTTTACTTCAAATTCTATTTATTCTAAATGTAAACTCTAATTTTTTTCTTAATATTACTATCAAAATTTAATTATACAATTTCTGATTATGTTGATATTTCTACAAATTTTTAATCTAATATTACTGTAAAAAAAATTATTCAACCTTTTACTAATATTAATTAATATAAAATTTAAAATTTTTTCAGAAATTGAAAAACCTGGATGGATGGAGAGGGGGTGGGGGACGGCGGCAGGGGCGGACAACACCTTTTCCGACGACGGTGGGTTCTCAACAACGGCAACAACTCCACTAGACCGTAACGTCTCTCCGGCAATGACCTCCTATTCTCCGTTCTCCCAACTTTCTCCAAGTTTCAGAACAACAACACCACAAATCACTCCAAACCCAATAGATCTGGACAGTTTTGTGCAATGTATCATGAATCGCACTCAAAACTCACTCTAAAATGATAAAAAATAACCTCACCAAAGCTCTAGATCATTGTTAATGGCGGTTTGCAAGACGAAAGAGGAGAAATAAAGGAGGAGCGTCGGTGACCTCCTGCCAGAGGACACGTGGCCCAATCAACGTGTTTCGTCTCTGCATCAGATGAAAAGATGCTTTCGTCTGACACAGAGACGAAACACTTTGATTGGGCCACGTGTCCTCTGGCGAGAAACTTTATTTCAAAATATTTAACCATTTTCGTCTCATCTTATACGAAACCACTGCCACGTGTTCTGCTCCCCGTATTTCGTCTATCTTTAATACAAAATGGTCAAATAAAAAACAATCAAAAATCATTTCGTCTGACTTTTATACAAAACTATAGCTGACGTGGCCCAAAAATACTCTAGACAGAGAATTATTTTCTTTTTTACATTATTTTGATAATTATTTTTTAAAATTGTATTATTTTAATCTTTAAGCCCACTTTACAACATTCATACGACGAAACTGTATAGTTTCTACTCTTAGGAGACGAGACAGAGTTTTAAAATAATAAAACAGGACTTAAGTCAAGTCCCAAATTAGGCTAAAACAAATATTGCAAAATAATCATAAACTTGTCTGAATGAAGTCAACCGAAAATGCATTTTATATTTGGTATTTAATTTTGAGAAAAAAGGGTGCAACCGTTGACCCCGCCCAATTCGTTCATCCCCACTTTCCCGAAATAACAGATAACAACAGAAGAAATAAACCGTTATTCATTCTCAAGCACTACAAAATTTCGGATCCTCACTCATTTCCCTCTTTCCCATATCCATACATTTTCTTGGTCTAACTAACTACTAAGAAATAAGCATTTTGCCTCCAAACTCTATCCCTTTCTTTCCTCCAAGCGACATCCAAACCAAACCTTAACCTTAATTTCTAAGAATGCCACAATTGGTCGCCGTTTCGGTGTTGCTGCATATTAGCATGCCTTTCTTAACATGAATCCAGGGTTCACGAGAGTCTCCAATTCGATTTGATAACAAAGAAAGCATAAAAGAAGTAAAAGAGCAAAGCAAATTGAAAGGGTGATGGAGAGTTATTTAAATGAGAATTTTGGAGGTGTCAAGTCCAAGAACACTACTGAAGAGGCTCTTCAAAAGTGGAGGAAAGTATGTGGGGTCGTAAAGAACCCCAAAAGACGCTTTCGTTTCACTGCCAACCTCTCCAAGCGCTATGAAGCAGCTGCTATGCGTCGTACCAACCAGGTCTGTATGCTTTATGCTTTTTTAATACTTTATAAAAATATTTATTTTAAAAATATAATTTTAATATTGTTTATATAAAAAATATTATTTGAACATTATTATAATTTAATATCGTATGTACAGAAAATTATTTTTAATTTTTAACATGTATTTTTATTAAGAAATCCAAAGATTTTAAAAAATATTTTTTTTAAATTATATTAATTTCAATAAAAGAGTAATTTTATCATTTAAATATAATTGATCTTGTCTATTATTTTTTACTTATTTCAAATATAAAATAGGACGACATAGTGTCATCTGTTATATTATTTTAACATGCATCAAACAAAAAATAATTTTTTTATCATTTCTTATTTTTATCCATCTTGCTATCATATTATATAATTTTTAAGGTTTTGTAAAAAAAATTATAAAAATATATGAGTTAACTTCTTATTATACCCTTCATCCGTTATATTAACTACTTTACTAATATTAACTTTTATTAAATAAATATTAATTATTAAAAATAAAATTATAAAAATATTAACTGTTCATTAGTTTTATAAATTGACACTGAAAAGTGAAGGAAAAATTGCTGAAGTGTTAAAAAAATAAATAAAACAGAAGTAGTAATTTCTATTCTCTGAGGGCAAATATTCAAATACAATTTTGGTATTACCTTTTCCTTCGTACAAATCAAATATTAAAGGGAGTGAAGACATAAAGACAGAAATTGTTTACTTAAAAGATCTTTATTTTGCAAAATACCAAAACATGATCATCGCATAACATCCTTTTATAGATTTATTCATGGATTTCAAATTAGCATAGGTCCAGATTGCTTGTTATATCTCATTCTTTATAATTCTGATCCAGAATCTTAAGAAACACGAGCATGTATTAAGGTTTTTGCCATGTCATGTTTCTTAACGTTATCTAATAGGCTTTGGAGCAACTTTCGTGTGCTACATTTGAGAAGTACGATGAAGATTAAAATCATACTCATCAGAAATAGCAGTGCAAGCAGAAAATCATGCATTACAATAGACAATGCTTTGTTTAGTTCTGGTCTCGTGCTATTTGTTGTTAGTAAATGTCTGCTTGTAATTTTGCTTTCTCCCTTGTTCATCTCCGAAACAGTATAATAGACTATTTTTCTTTCGAAAATACTCTTGAGCATGGCTCTTCTATTGCCTTCTCAAAGTAATACCGCATAGAATGTGTGATTGTGACCTGTCCAAGTATGAATTATGATATTCTCTCCTTAATGCAGGAGAAGCTAAGGGTTGCTGTGTTGGTTTCCAAAGCTGCATTTCAATTTATTCAAGGCAAGTTTACTCAGAATTATTCTAAAATTAGAAGTCTTCATTTAAGAGTCAATTTGTTTACTTGTGAATTGTGATCATACCCGCAGGTGTTCAACCAAGCGATTACGTTGTACCTGATGAAGTTAAAGCAGCAGGATTCCAAATCTGTGCTGATGAATTGGGGTCTATTGTTGAAGGACACGATGTAAAGAAGCTTAAGTTTCATGGTGGAGTAAATGGTATTGCCGAAAAGCTTTCAACATCAACTACTAAGGGGCTTAGCGGAGATGCTGAATCACGGCACAGGAGGCAAGATATTTTTGGAGTCAATAAATTTACTGAAAGTGAAGTTCGGAGTTTCTGGGTTTTTGTTTATGAAGCCCTTCAAGACATGACTCTGATGATCCTTGGAGTGTGTGCTTTTGTGTCTCTGATAGTTGGCATATTAACAGAAGGATGGCCCAAAGGAGCTCATGATGGTCTTGGAATTGTTGCAAGTATCTTACTAGTTGTCTTGGTGACAGCAACAAGTGATTATCGCCAATCGTTGCAATTCAAGGACTTAGACAAGGAGAAGAAAAAGATATCCATGCAGGTTACAAGAAATGGTTACCGGCAGAAAATGTCAATATATAATTTACTTCCTGGTGACATTGTGCATCTTGCCATTGGAGACCAAGTCCCTGCAGATGGTTTATTTGTTTCAGGATTTTCGATGTTGATTGATGAGTCAAGTTTAACTGGTGAGAGTGAGCCAGTGATGGTGACTTCCCAAAATCCATTTCTTCTTTCTGGAACCAAGGTCCAAGATGGATCATGCACCATGTTGGTTACCACTGTTGGGATGAGGACTCAATGGGGTAAATTGATGGCAACTCTGAGTGAAGGTGGAGATGATGAAACTCCATTGCAGGTGAAACTGAATGGAGTGGCAACCATTATTGGGAAGATAGGACTGTTCTTCGCGGTGGTTACTTTTGCAGTTTTGGTGAAAGGACTCATGAGCCGTAAACTCCAACAAGGAAGATTCTGGTGGTGGTCAGCGGATGATGCAATGGAGATGTTGGAATTCTTTGCCATTGCAGTTACCATTGTTGTTGTTGCTGTTCCAGAAGGGTTACCATTAGCCGTGACATTGAGTCTTGCATTTGCAATGAAGAAGATGATGAATGACAAAGCCTTGGTAAGGCATTTGGCTGCTTGTGAAACTATGGGATCAGCCACAACTATATGTAGTGACAAGACTGGGACACTAACAACCAACCGCATGACTGTGGTGAAAACATGCATTTGTATGAATACCAAGGAAGTGACCAATGGTGATTCTAGTTTGTGTTCTGAACTCCCAGATTCTTCTTTGAAACTGTTGCTACAATCAATATTTAACAACACTGGAGGAGAGGTTGTGGTTAATAAAAGAGGTAAACGTGAGATCTTGGGGACGCCAACAGAGTCAGCAATATTGGAGTTTGGTTTATCACTTGGTGGGGATTTTCAGGCAGAGAAACAAGCATGTAAAGTTGTTAAAGTGGAGCCATTTAACTCCGAGAAGAAAAGAATGGGTGTGGTTTTGGGGCTACCTGAAGGAGGTTTAAGGGCTCATTGTAAAGGTGCTTCTGAAATCATTCTTGCTGCTTGTGACAAGGTGGTCAACGCAAATGGTGATGTTGTTTCCATTGATGAAGAATCAAGTAATTATCTTAAGAGTACAATCAACCAGTTTGCCAGTGAGGCACTTAGAACTTTGTGCCTTGCCTATATGGAATTGGAAAATGGATTCTCTGCTGAAGACCCTATTCCTGTTTCTGGCTACACTTGTATAGGAATTGTTGGTATCAAAGATCCTGTTCGTCCTGGTGTTAAGGAATCTGTTGAAGTGTGTCGTTCAGCTGGAATAATGGTAAGAATGGTTACAGGAGATAATATTAACACTGCTAAGGCCATAGCCAGGGAATGTGGGATTTTAACAGATGATGGCATAGCCATTGAGGGTCCAGATTTTAGAGAGAAGACTCAGGAGGAATTGTTTGAACTGATTCCCAAAATTCAGGTGCTTCATATTCTTTCTATACAAATAACATCTTTGGTTGATTCTATTCTTAACGAGGGAAATGGATGATGCTTTAAATAATACTGTAATAGTATGTTTAATTTTGTTTTAAGGTTATGGCTCGATCCTCACCTCTAGACAAACATACATTGGTGAAACATCTGCGTACCACGTTCGGGGAAGTTGTAGCTGTAACCGGTGATGGAACCAATGATGCCCCTGCCCTTCATGAAGCTGACATTGGACTTGCAATGGGAATTGCTGGAACTGAGGTTAGTGCAATGCAATCATATAGGGCAATGAATTAGAGATTTCAATATAAGTTATTTGTTTCATATTTTCATTCTTTCTCTTCATATGCCTGTATCAAATGAAAGTCATGATCCATTCCCTGTCAAATATTTGAAACCAAAAGAAGATAGAGTGAAATGTTAACAACAATGCACTTCATTTTGATAATGTAATTAAACTTAATCTTTTAAGCCAAGGAGAGTGCAAGAATCATGCTAATTTCAAAATTTGTGTACAGGTTGCTAAAGAAAGTGCTGATGTCATAATTCTGGATGATAATTTCTCCACAATAGTGACAGTGGCCAAATGGGGACGTTCGGTTTATATAAATATTCAAAAATTCGTACAGTTCCAGCTAACTGTTAATGTGGTTGCATTATTGGTGAACTTCTCATCAGCATGCATGACAGGTTAGAAAATTAGTCTAATAAAATTTGTCTACTTTGATTGAACTTACCTTCCTGTTTCACTCATTCATTTTTCATTCCCTTCAAAGAATGGTGAGAAAATGTGTTTATAAATAATAATAGAAAAAAAAATCCTTATCTTATGATTTTACGTGTCTTTGTTCTTCAGGCAGTGCACCCCTCACAGCTGTTCAACTTTTGTGGGTGAACATGATAATGGACACGTTGGGAGCACTTGCACTTGCAACTGAACCTCCAACTGATGATTTAATGAAGCGTGCACCAGTGGGAAGGAAAGGGGAGTTCATCAATAATGTCATGTGGAGAAATATCTTAGGACAAGCAATGTATCAGTTTGTAGTGATATGGTTTCTCCAGACAATAGGAAAATGGGTCTTCTTTCTCAGAGGCCCAAATGCTGAAGTAGTCTTAAACACACTTATTTTCAACTCATTCGTATTCTGTCAGGTAAATCTTCTGAAAAGCCCCTCTTGACAGAAGGAATTTTATTAGTCTAAGGTTCGTATAACCAATTTTCTTAGGCAGATATATATGAACATAAATTGCCAAATGAGGAAAGATTCAATTCTATTATACTACAGTTTTATTTGCTGAAAATTTGCCTTACATGATGTGGGTTGGTTTGCTTTATGCAGGTTTTCAATGAGATAAACTCTCGTGAGATGGAGGAAATAGATGTTTTTAAAGGCATATGGGATAATCATGTGTTTGTGGCTGTCCTTGGTTGCACTGTTTTCTTTCAAATTGTAATAGTTGAGTACTTGGGAACCTTTGCAAACACAACTCCTCTCAGTCTGGTACAGTGGCTCTTCTGCTTAGCTGTTGGATACATGGGCATGCCAATTGCAGTTCGCTTAAAGCAGATCCCGGTCTGAAGCATATAATGAACAGATATTTAGTTTTTAAACAAAATGTTTTCGATTTGTTATGTTACACTGCTTCGAGGTTCCCTATTCTTGTACATTCGCTAATAGGCCTGGTATTGCTCGAGGTTTTCTTGGGTCAGAACCAGAAGTTGAGAAGGAAAGTATAGTAGAAATCTGGAGTCTCGTAGCGATTCTTAAGTCAAGTATAAGTAACTACCAAATCACCACTTAACCTTTTTATTTATCACATTGTTTACTTTTTCAAGGCTAGCAGAAAGGTAGGCTGAAAAAAGAAAAATGGTAAACCTGGACTTTTTGCAGTGGACAATTTTGACTCTTTTCATCATCGGATTCGAAATTATTGTACGAGTATGGCTTCAAATACTGTAGCATAATTTCTTTGTGTAGCTGACATGTAACAACTTCATTTTCCTATTATAAAGTTATTTTCTAAGATTTCAAGTGCTACTTCCAATTTCTGAAAAACTTGTGAGAATCAATAACTAGCCTTGCAATTGTAGGAACACCTTTTCAGTTTGTTCTTATGCAACGTTGATTCTAAAAAGGCACCACGTTCCTCCCCCCTCCTCTTGAAATCTTAATCCGACCATGAGTTATGCTATTCCTAGAGAACAGTAAGCTACTCAATAATCAGTAATATGTTTATTGGAAAAGTGCATAATGCAGATTGATGGTAAGACTAGATAAGTAAGCAATTGAAGTGGTGGAGATTCTGACACTAATTTTTCGTGAATCTCATCTTCCATAGTCTATCCTCCCAATTGCTAGAAGGATCTTTCTCAAATTCATCATTTTATATATTCTGACGAAGCTGTCAACCTGTTTTGCATATTCTGTTTCTTGGTTTTTGTTTGTCATTGTTTTCCACTTCTGCATTCATTTAAAATCAAATTAGACACAGCTAATTCCTCATTCTTCAAGACTTATAAAATAAAAATTCATGTCACAACAATGGGGGAGGGGGGATTTTAAAAAGTTAAAAGTAGAAATGTCAAAAGACAAGTCAAAGAAACTAAACACTGTCGACCGATAAATAGCTTCACTCAACTTGCATGACTTGCATCTACTATGAAGAGAAACGTTTTCAACATATTTTTTTCAACATATTTTTTATAATTAGTTTTTTTTAATTAAAAGGTTAAAGTATTCTACGAAATTATGAAACAAGTATTTTAATTTTTTTAAAAATTGAACAATTAAAAAAATATTAAAATATCGCTAATCATAAAAGTAAATAAAAAAGAGAGAGCAAATTTTCATTGTCAACAACTTTATCTTATTGTAGCAGCATTAAACATGTCTGAATAATTTGGAAAAATATGTGTCCAGATTACTAAATAATTCGATCATTATCTCTCAGTTTGGTAAAAAATAATCTTAATATTATTTTATTATTTAGAATTTTGTTAGCTTGAGTTTAAGTATTAATAGATAGAAATTTTTTATAAAAAATATAAATATTTATTATATTAAAATTATAAAATATAATAAATATTTTTAATAAAATTTTATTATTATTATTTGCTTATCCTAAATTATAAGAATTTAAATTAATAAAATTTTATTATTTAGTCTCTTATGTTAATCTAATTTTAAGTTAAAAATTTTATTGTTTAACTATTTAATAATTTTAAATTTGTATTATAGTAGGGAGATTTAACGATGATGTATTTATTAAATAAAGGAAAAGGATGCTATAATGTTTAATATAATATTTGTTTGAAAAGAAGCGAGGGGAGGAAAAATATTTTAATAGGAAGAAGGGGAGGGAAGTGATTTTAATGGAAAAGAGAGATATTTTGTATGATTTGAAAAGGAGACAGGAGGAAAAATAAATAAATATTATTATATATTTAATATGGTCAAATAAAGATTAAATTAAAATTTATTTAATTACTTAGTGTTTAGTTAGAAGAATAGGCAAAAAGATTTTTATAAATTTATTATGTTTAATTAGTATTTTGTAAATGAGAATGGTGTTTTACTAGAACTTTCAAAGTGGTATTTTTAATTTCACTTCCTAGTTGTTACTTCTGGTCCACTTTAACATTAACTTTAACTTTGCAAATAAACTAGTAATGTGCTTTGCAACCTAGTATGTCATTAGATTTCAAACCTTAGTCACACTATTAAAGAATTGATAAGTGTCATATTTTAGTAGTTCTATGTATATGTTTGACATTTATTTGATTCCTTCTCACATAGCTTGTACTTAAATTTCTTTAAATTCTATGCAATTTATATTTTAACTCATTTAAGTTCTTGTTATTTAAATTCAGCAACGTTGGCCTTAATTTTGTTAAATAATAGAAGATTTTTTTATCCACTTTCTTGTGTGAATTTTTTTGAGACAAAAACTTGATGAGGTGATAACACATATTTGTTGTTTATATTTATACCTTTATTTTGTCTTCAAAACAATTTTTATGTCTTATTTTGAGAGCTTTTACCATTTTTTAATAATAGAAATGATTTGGGTTTGTTTTGCATAAATGTTGTAATTTCGTATTTTTAGCCAATCTAACCTTTGCCTACTCTTTTGGTCATAAATTTTTTATAAAGATATTATGTTTGACTAATTTCAGTTGCATTAGATTCTACACATCTAGAGATTCGAAATATATATCTAGTTTGTTGGATTTGGAGTTTTTTTTTTCTATTTTTTATGATTTTTTGTAAGATGGAGTAGATTTGCTGAAGTCGCTAGATTTTTAAGTGTTGCTCAAGTAAGAGTTTCCTGGCTTGAGCGAGAAATGCATAATTCAGACCAAATTTTTTGTTGGTTTTCTTATTTGGGTGAAAATGGCCTTCGCCTGGGAGAATTGGCTCGCCTAAGTGAGAAATCCTACAACAAACTTTTCTCTCTGGTTCTTTCTTGCCTGAGCGAGAATTATCTCGCTTGAGTGATAATTTTGGCGAGAAAGAGCGTTGATAAGTTTATATTTTGACATATTTTTCGAGCATGATCATATGCACTTATTATTGATTTGAATGAATTTTTTTTCACTAATTATTCTATTAATTGGTGTAGATGAGCATGTGTGAAGACTCACGAGATTTATGAATATTTTGAGCGCAATTTCAAGAGAATTAGGCCATTAATGATGAAACATAGCCCAGTCCTTTATTTTTAGCATGGCCATGCTTTATTATCATGTACGGCCGTGCTATTATCAAGTATGCCTATGACTCCAGAATAAGTATGGTCGTGCATTCATTTGACGCGGTCGTAATTACCTACGCAATTCACATCTACATGATTTTGAAACTTAAAAACCTTATAAAATGAGGAATAGAGGCAGTGGTTCAACATTTCATTCTTGAGACTTAATTCCTAAGTTTCTGAGTAACTCCCTCTCTCTTTTGCATGGGATTTCTGGCATGTTCTTGAAGGATTTAGATCTTCAAGCGACTGGACTTGGAGAATGAGATCTTCCCTCTAGTTTGTTTTTCACCCTTGTTTATGACTTTGTTTATGGCTTTATTTACAAATGTTTTGGTTTCTTCCTTAAACATAAGTAACTAAACTCGTAGTTAGGGTTATGAGAACTCTTGGTCATAACTTTATGGGATTTTTATAATTAAATTTAGATTTGATTTATGTTGTCATTAGTATTTCTCCTACTGCGCTTGATTATGTGTTGTGAACTGACCACTCGTAACATAATTCTAATTAATTACATCATTAAACGACCGTATATCGATTAATTAATAGATCTGTAGAATAAAATGAAACAAAGGATTAGGTAGACCAAACTGATCTTTCTCTTTTACTTGTTATTAGATTAACAAGTTCATAGGTTCTTCATACTTCCCATAATTAATATCTTGCATGATAATTGAAGATGTTAATTTAGAGGGAAAAATGTTAATACTGTATGACCATTGAGTATTAATAGCAACTGTACGAATGATTAGTAATCACACATACATCAGATTTAAAGTTAATTAGAAAAAGAACACAAAGGATTGAATGAGTAAACTCATATGCCCTAAGTTTTTCTCTTGTAATTTTCCCTAAAGCGTGTGTTGCGATTTCTACTTTGAGATCTGGTGATAATTGTTTTAAATTCTTTAACTTTAAATGTGTAATTTCACATCCATTACGTTCAAACAATTAGACTGAAAAATTCTTAGTAATTAGAAACCAATCCTTGTGGGACGATAATTTTGGGACTCATTTTTAAAACTCTTTATTACTTTTTGATGGGTACACTTGCTCACTCAACAAGTGTCTGTGCGAGAATTCACTTATTACCCTATAGAGATAGAATACTTTGCTTAAAAAGAATGAGTTGGAGAGGGCTTTGGAGCCTCAACACACAATGACCTAATTTGGCATTGCAGAGCAATGGAGGAGTTTGGGAAAAAGATCAAGAACCATTGAGGAAACTAATTTCTATCTCTTTTCTTTGCGTTTTCTTATTGTAATGTATGACATGAACGACTAGAACTCTCTAGGGATTGGATGTAATCTTCATACTTTGAATGCTTTGGTATTTTTAATGTATGTTTGTTCATTTGTCATAAGTTGGGTGTGTTTATCTTGATTATAATATTTGTTTCTACCTTACGAAGAATGATTCATAATCTAGGAATCTAAGTTGAGTGTGACAACTAACTTGGAACCCAGTTGAGGTAAACTCATGCAATAGGTTGGGGCTTTAGAAATATATTTTAATTTATTGTATACTATATAACTCTTGTTAGTAATGCTAAAGTGTTCATTGTTTAGGTAAAGAATTATTACGTAATAATTACTTTTAGAATCTCGAGTGTGAGAAATCAAAACGAATGAATATGAAGAGGGTGCATAAAATAATCTTAGTATTTGTTTAACGTATGTTAAAATCAAAATATGAAGAGGGTGATAGATGAAGTCTAATCTTCAATCTTATCATAGTAGTTTAATTTACTTTTATTTATATTTACATTTATTTTTTATGAACCAAACTATCAAAAACACAAAATTTTACTTAATTGTACATTTATAAATATTAAATATTTTTAATTTTAAATTGAATAACTAAAATTGCTTAAGTATTCATATTTTCTGTGGAGATGACAACTTTTTATATTACATCAAAAACTTAGTATATTTTTCACTGAATTAGATTGTTATAATAAATCTTAACAAGAATCTTCATCTAGGGTGGCTGAATTAGCAAAGTGCATGTTTTGTAAAAAAGCCACCTTCATATGATGTTACCAAAAATCAAAGCTACCAGCCTAGGCAACATCATAGTGCACATCAATTTCATGTAATACAAGAATTTCCTGCATTACTGATCTTCTATTCCAAATACCTATCAAATAGCGAAATTCAAAGTTTTTCTCTCCTCCCCAAAACCAACATATACAAAAAGGGATTGCCGAAAAAATTATTATTTATTATTAATAAATGGTTCAAAAAAATACATATAAAATGAAAACATTCTACAATATGAAAAGTTGTGGAACTCTAATCTAATAAAACCTACCTTAACTCTTAACTATGGCATATGGGTTCGGTTTGAATTAATAAAATGTGTGCTTGTCTTGCACTAAAGCACTTCCCATTTATAAACATATTTTGGCTTCTAATGGAATTGTGTGTGGGTCGTAAACACGGTATAGAACCTGTCAGCAGCTTATTCTCTTCCCCGCCATGCCTTTGTGTTTGATATTCAATCTCAAGGAAAGCTGTCTTCCTTCACTATTGTTTGTGGAAGGGGATTGTCTTGGTATTGGTAGAAATCCTGTTGAAGTTTATACCTATGGACCTAATCGCTGGAATGGGGGAAATTAACTTAAATTTGGGAAAACATTCATATACTCTTACTGTTATCCTGAAATACTATTATTATTTTTTATATATATTCACAAGTCACAACACTAAGGAGACAAGCTTTCCTCATCCGAACTTCTATCTTGTCTTGCATGGTACCTGTTGAGAACAGGTAATGATGCACTTGCGGCTATCCTGAAGGATCTAGCTGAACCGATTACTGTTCTATCCTGCATCCTTCCTACTTCTTTGCAAACTTGATCCAAAATATTTAGAAAGTCTCTTACAATCATAAAAATTCTGAAAGGGTGTGCTTCTTCCTTTGCTGCATCCCCATGAAAGTATTCTGTAACTTCTTTCACAAGGAATAAGGCCTTTCTCTCATCAGCCTTGATCCTAACAATTTTTTCTTCAGCATCATCCAGAAATAGTCCTGTTGAGTTAAAGAAATTCCCTTGCATATCTGGCTTTTTATGTTGCAAAACCAATCTAACTTTATCAAGACCAATTTCAAGCTTTGAGACATAGCTGCTTAAGACATCTGAATCCATTCCTGCTGCCTTTTTGACATTACCAAGGTCTCTACTCAATCCAGCCACAACCTGCAATCCTTTCTTTCTGAACTCATCCTCATTGAATTGGGAAGTTGTTTGTTTTTGAACATTCTCATTTGCAGATTCACCACCTGTACCTTCAGATCTAATGATCTCTTGGACCACAAAGTGGAGCAATGTGGTCTTTCCATCTGTGCCCTTTATATCTACAAGTTTTAGAAGTGTATCCAGTTTGAAGGATTTGGCATCGCCACGATTGGTGCCAACGTTCATTCTGTTTCCTGTCCTTAAAACAGCTTCAAGAAGTTTGAGGAATAATCGGCTGTTCCTTAATTCCTCACTTGCTTCCTGACAGACGTCAACACCTGATTGATTAGTTCATAAGGAGGCAGAACAAAATTCAATTAATTACAAGGGATGAGTATAAGCCAGCCATACCTCCAGGGTCTGAAAGGACTTCCTAAGGTAGTTGACTTCTGTTTCAAAATTAGCTCTATATAGCATGGCTTCAACTCTTTTAAAAGCTAAAGGGATATCAAGCACTGCTTTAAGAAATCTTTCTGCAGATCCAAGTTTTGAGAGGTCACCATCATAATTTTTAAGTTTTATTTCTTCCTCTTTTGTTGGAGCCATCTTTACTAGAGTCTCCAATAGCTCAGTTCCCAAACCTTCAGGATTCCCTGTGACATTCAAAAAGCAATACCACCAAAGATGAGTTTTGCGAAGTGAAAACACTGGGTGCAATTAGTTAAAGGTGAAACGTAAAAACACATGGATGCCAGGGGAACAACCAAACATGTTAGTTGATGGAAATACCAATCTTCAAAGCATTCCAATATTTTTTTAGTTTTATAACATATTTAAAGTAAAACAAACTGGAACAATGACAGCTAAATATGGCAGTAATATTTTACTGAGCCACACTGATGATGGTCATTTGAGGTGGAGCCACAAAAGAAATGTGGCTCCTCGTGCTCTATTAGAAGATATCCACAACATTGAGAATTCGTCATTAATATATTTATATTCAAATACAGAAGTGTTTCTTAGAATAATGACACGTGGATTGTATGGAAACTGTGAGGGAGAGTTGCCGGTTTATCTTTAGTCTATACATGCATCAAGGGTTTAGAAAATAGTACTATTATGCAAGTTAGATGACCCAGTTTGAACAAATGATGAACACTGACACAAGCAAGAGAAAGATTAAAAGAAAAAAAAAGCATTAAAACAGAAGAATAATATGCTTAGGAATAAAAGACAGAATACATTTGGGGTTAGAAGCATGGAATAAAAATAGTAAAATGATCTGTCTTTATCGTGAGACAATCATGACTCATGAAAAAGGGGTGCATTGCTTTTAGGGGAAGCTTGACAGTTACAGCTAAAAAAGGCAAAGCTAGGTAGTTATTGAGGATGGTTGCAGTCCTAATAGGCTGGTCCATTACGGTGGTAAGGGCAGTATCCAGTTTAACAACAGCAATTCCTCAAAAGAAGGGTTCGGTAATGAACTTAAGATCTTTCTCAGTTGGACGTGGAGAAAGAGTCAGCTTGATCATAAAATGGTGTATGTTTGGTCATTGCTCAATACTTGCAAAGAATGTTAATGACCAGACCGCACTTAGCACTACATTTCATGAGCTACGTTTGATATTACAAGACATTTTGAAATTGGCACCCTACAGTACTAGTATATTATCTCCCCTAAAATAACCGACATTAAAAAATCTAATAAAAGTAGTTTACAGAAACAGACAAGTAACGAGATCAGGGCATCGGAAACATTAAAAAGTAGAAATACAACAAACCAACGTCCACTTGCGCACCCATTAGACCTTAAGTTTTCTCCTGTGATGCAATGCAATTAAAGTCTAAAATTTGATTACCATAAAAAAAATAGGAAAAAGTGAACAAACCAACGTACCATCTAAAAGAGCTTCGGACACCTCATCTCTTGTGACATTGAGTGCCCTAAGTAGTATAGCTATATTTTGGGATTTCTTGGGGTCTAACACCCTATTCTCCTGTTCAACAGGGGGAAGAACTGATTTCCTAGGAACAGTCTCCTTAGGAGCAGAACTTGTTGAATTGCAGCCAAACAGGGTCTCCATCATATCCTCATTTAACCTACCCAAAAGAAACCAACGTGAGTTCAATCACCCTCCTAAACCACCGCAAACCCCAAAAATCAGAGTTTATTTATTTACTTACTGAAATGAGCTAGATTTTAACTGGTCCCACACAGTGGCACGGTCTGAAGTAGCACGCACTTTATCCCAATGCAGAGCCTTCAACTTGGGTTTCGCTCCATCCACGTCATCACCGTCACGTCTCTTCTCAACTTCCTCTGAATAACCTTTCCTCACACTCACACTGCAAATAGAAGCTGCTCCTTCACTTGCAGACCAAGACGTTTGCTCCTTTTTCGACACAGATGACGAGGATGTACTAATTGACGGAGACCAACCCTTTCGTGGCGGTGGCGGCGGCGGCGGAGGAGGAGGAGGAGGTTTAAGCAATGTCGTGGACCCGTTTGAATGAAGATGAGTCAAATTCGGAGCTGGGGGAGGCGATGAGAATTTCAGCCTTCTAGAAGGACCAGAATTCACTTCTTTCTCAACGTGCTGATATTTGTTTGAACCTGGTGGTGGTGACGGCGGCGACGGAGCCGGAGCATTCTTAATTGATGGTACGATTACGTGCCTGATATCCGGCGACGGAGCGGAAAATCGAGATTTCGGCGATGTTCTCTTCGAGTAAGGAACCACCGGAGCCATGGCGGCCGGCGCGGCGGCGGGGCTGCCGTTGGCCAGATAACTCTGGCGCGAAACCGGCGTGTAATAGTTATCTTCGAGGCTGAGCGATGAGCCATGCGGCGAGTGGAATGCCGTCTCGCGGCTTTCCTCATCGGAGGAGGAGGAGGAGGAGGAGGATGCCGCCGGCGGCGAGTGGCTCTCGTCCGGTGGCTTGTTGAGCGGTGGCAATGGCTGCAACTCGGGGCTGGGGCGGTAACGGTGATCGGAATTAAGCTTGATGGAATTGAGCTTGCGATAAGGGGAGCCGTTTGCTGCATTGGGTTCACTCACCGACGTTCTGGTGGGTTCCACCGTCCCAATGTAGAGGAAGCTCGATGGTTGTGGGGCCCTCGGAGAATCTTCTAGAACTATTCGAGAATTTCGACCATCACCGACGAGCTTCTGACTCTCCACTGGGTGCTTTGCCTTGTGCTTGTATAAGAAAAAGCATAGGGCAGAGAGCATACCCAGCGTCACAATTACCACAGAGATCGCAATTGCGACTTTTTTGGTGGGTTTCGTGGGCTGCGTCGCCGTTGGGTTCGCAATTACGCCGGTGGAGATTGCCGGCGGCTGGTTCTGGACCGGCGGCGGCGGTCCGACGGGATACTCGTTGAAAAAAGGAATGTCGGGAGAAGAAGGGATGTCATCTGGCGGCGGCGGCGGCGGGGTGGCTGGCGGCGGAGCAGAAGCGGCCGGGAACAAGGGCTGGTGGAGGATCCTTCTTGTTGTGTAGGACTCATTGGGAGTGTGGAATTGAATTGTGTTGAGCCCTTTTGCAGTGGGGACTTGGATGTGTAGAGACAATGATAGGATCAAAAAGAAGGTGAAATGATGAGGTTTCATGGTGAATATTTGTGGCCGCCTCTGCTTGTCCCCTTTTCTTTCTCCCAATACATCTCTGGGTTTTGTTCCCGCAAATTCCTTAGCTCCAAAGACAAACACAAAAGAAAAAGAGAGAAAGAAAGAAAGAGTATGAGTGAGTGAGAGCAAGGAAGCTTCTTCTTTCGGCTGTAAGATCTGATCTGGACGCTCTCATTTGGCTTTCGTCAGCATTTATTTTTCCTCATTTTCATTTATGGCATTGTTAAATGCTAGTTTGATGTCTTTAGTAAAATAGTACTCACCCGGGGTAAGAGAAGGGAAATATAGTGTTGTGAAGCCATCAACAACAACGATACATGGATAAAGTAAATCCTAAATAGTGAGGAATGTGACGTTGTGGTGAAACTTGGCTGTCTCGATTATGCATAACAATGATGAGGAGCTTTATCGTCTGTTCATTATTAATATCGTATTGTTCTCTTTCGTTGGTTACGAGGGCAAAGCACAAATTCTATCTTTGAGAGATGCCATTAAATCTTGTGTCCACTGGCCACTTTATCTTTTTCTTCAGCTCAGCAGTGGCTTCCCACTTCCGAGTTCAAACACCTCATGTTTACGCTTTTCAGCAAATATATAAATATTTTAACAGGAAAAATAAATAGGAAGGCCATGTCGGAATCAGCTATGCAACAAACCAATTTAAAACCGATCCGAAGAACATGCTCTAATAAGTACTGCGTCAGGTTTTCGAGGCTTATGTTTTGTCTGTTTACAAGATTAGTCCAGTGGACGGTGTGTTTATTGATGGGTATCCTTAATCACGACTACTACACGCTACCTACTCCAAGACTATGAATAGCCCAATAATATCTCATTAATTAGCGTCGAATTTAAAATGATTATATGCTTGATAGAATTTTCTTGGAGTAATATAAATATATTTTAAAGACTCAGAAAATTTTGTTGCTGATGATGATTTTATTCAACTCAAATAAAACATTTGATGCGATACTTAAATACAAGCAATCCTGATAAAAATAAAATAAAATCCTCAAAAGTAGATAGCGTGTAGTAGTGTGTGATTAAGGATTCGCATCTATTAACACACTGGCAAAATAAAATGCTTACATACTCTGGTCCTGAACACTGAACTCCCTAAATCCAAACACCTGTCATTTGTAGACAAAAAAAAAAACACCTCATTTATCCCTTAATTTATTTAAAAACAAAGAAACTTCCATTTAAAAAGCCGTGAGGCATTGAGCCTCTTTTGTGGAAAAAACCAGCATGCTTTTGGATACATGGAAAAACCAGCATGGTTATAAAAAGTGAAATAATGGTTTGTTTTCACTTTGTTGTTAATATAAATGTAATACAGCACAGGCACAACCTCTGTATCACAGCGTTAAAAATATTTTTTCTTTATAAAAAGTCCATTTTCCTAATTAAACTAATATTAATAATCTGAACCCCCTTTTGGACTCTTATTTATTTTGGCCGGGGGGTGCTAGTTAGTAATTTGGACACCATGTTGCGTTTAATTTTACGTTAATCAGAAATGTTCATGAGTTTTAAATATACAAGCTAATTGGAGTAACATTTAGAAGTTATGCACATCTGAATCTGTAGAACCTAGAGCAAACGCATAGTATATGTATATGTGTTTGAATCTATAATATATATATATATAGAACATTTCAAGAGAGATGAAAAGTGAGAAATATTAATAATAGTTATTGATAAGAAAGAAAAAAAAGTGAATAATGAGATAGTAATATTAAATATAAATTCTTTATTTTGATTCAATGAGCATTATTAATATTTTTCACCTCTCATAATAATAAATTTTTCTCATTTAAAATACTCCATTTTTATATAATAGAATGAATTTTAACTAAGTTTGTTTACATAAAAAGGAAAAGAGAAGAAAAAGTTATGCGTAGAGACAGTTTGACTGTTGTATTGTAACTCGTTACCCAGCTATACCCTACAAGTGTGAGATTCTTTTTAAGAAAAATAAATAAACTATAGTTAATTGAATTGCTTTTTGGCACGTTTCAATAGAAGAAAAGATAAAACAATCAAAGTGCTCTTTTTATAATTATAATATAAATTTAATGCTTATTATTTAAAAGTATAAATATATAAATAATTTGTTTTACAAAGAAGGAGAAAGAAGAACGAAGAGGTTGAAGTGACTGTGTGCATCACTTTTCCTACAAATTATATGCATGCAGTAACTTGAGAATGCTATGACTGAAGTGATTTGCGAAAGTAAATTAATAACTTATTAATTATTAATATGGACCTAACTACTGAGCTTCTCCTTCCCGTTGAAACTGTCGGTAGGATCAGACAAATAGTATATTCATAAAACGATACTTAAAAATGACTAGTATCAGAATTTGACAGTAATTAACTGATTAAATGACAAGACAACTATAAGGGCATTTTATTTTTCTAAAACATGTTGATAATTATTTTAATCGGGTTTGTAATGACAGTTCTTAAATGAATATTTTAGCGGAGGAATCTGCTGGCGGTAGACTTGAGTGGTGAATTTTTGCTGTCAATTTGGATGTGTCTAGCAAGTTCCAGTTCAACCTGCATAAGCATGTGCAGAAATATATTGAGGACATACTAAGGAGCATATTCCTGTGCTTAAGAATATTTAAATCAAACGCTTAACAAAAGGAAAATCCTAAACAGTCGTAACTTTAATTGAATTTCAATTCCCAGTTCCAGAATAACAAACACTCTTGCCGGTTGTTTGGAAAATTAATTTTGGAAGGACTAAAGACAAAGACAAATTTTATATTTTAAATATATATTTATTTAAAATAAATTTAATATACTAATCATATATTTATTATCATAAGTGATATATAATTATTTTAATTTAAGATTAAAAATTATATTCTCTTCTCTTTCTCCCTTTAAAACTCTTTTTCTAAACATACTTTTAATGAAAAATTCATAATTAATTACATTTAATAAGTATAAAATTATAAAATCTTTAGAGTATATTTTCTTAATTTTTATATTTATCATTAATTTTTTTTTAAATTAGAGCCAACAAAATGAAAGTATTACCTCAAAATATCTAGAAAAATAATACTTAAAATGCTAAAATTGAAGACAAAAATTTAATCTTTTTAAGGTGATATATTTAGGCTCGAACTCATACAGATTTGAAATGGCTGACGAACCATCTCTAATCCATGTTGATTTTTTTTAAGTGAATATGTTTTTTTAAGATAATATTTATTTAAAATCAAAATTATTATTTATAAAATTAAAATTATTAATTTATTTTATATTAACATTTATTAACAAAATTAATATTTAATTCTAGATTATAGTAACGAAGATGGTGAAGATGGTGAAAGTGAAGTCATTGTAATTGAAGATACAATTTTTCATAAAGTTAAATGATTAAGAGGTTAGTCAGAAATTTCTTTTAAATATTTGAAATTATTAAGTGTTTATTCTAATTTTGTTAAATAAAATAATTTCATGATAATTTGTTGTTTTAAAATTAATGGATAGATATTTTATGCTTTAAATTTTAATGTGTTTTAAAATATTTTTAAGGTAATTTTTTATCGTTAATTTGTATTAAAATAATTTTTTAAAGATTTTTCACACTTGAACTACAATTTTAAAATTTCAAAGCTCAAGCTATGATAGTTCGCTACTTGACGTGGGTTGCCTTAAACTAGTCTGAACAATCTAAATTATCAACTCTAAATTGAACATCTTTTCTAGAAAAAAAGATCTAATTTCTTAACTTTTTGTTATAACTTTTTTTATCAATAAACTTAACATATTTCACTGAGTCATATTTAAAATCTATCAATTTTTTCTTACCATTTGACATAATTCTATCAAATCGATTGAATTTTCATTAGAAACACTCGATCAAAATTGATATTAATTAATTTAATTTAATCCGTTTTAATTATTTATTTTTCTTCGTTTAGATCATTATGGTTTAGTTACAAACACTCCAATTTTACCATGTACATTACTAAATTACCATAGCCATTGGAAAGTTGGAGATAGATTGTGAATTTTGAAAAATAAATAAATGAAGTTAAGTGAAAGGTGAAAAGTACGTTTGGATAAAAATGTGAGAAAGATATTGTTATAATGTTGTCGAAAGGCCTTTTATTACATTAGACATTACATGAAAAAGTGACTATTCGTGGTTAACTTTAATTCTTTCTCATTGGTTACTACTGCATGTCTCCTTTGTTTTATCTTTTATTTTTTCCTCTCCTTTTATCCCTTCAATGTGCCCAAGCAGATGTGGAACCGGCTAACAATTTTGTAAATTTCATCATATTACTAAAGTTTAAAAATTCTTTTACTCAATTTGAATTTTTTATTTAACTTATATCTAACAACTAGTAAAATAATAAATTATAATTTGTATGTAATATCAGATAAAGATTCAGATTAAGTATAAAAAATTTTAAACTTACACTAATACAAGAAGATACAGTCTCATATATATACAATTTAGATTAATCAATTTAATTATTAATTTAAAATTTTTTACTAAGTAAATTAATTTTATAAAATTTATATAAAAATAAAATAAATATATATTTTATCACATTATTTTATTTTAATATATGATATATTTTTAAAATATAAAAATATCAAAATTTAAATAATATACTTATATATATATATATATAATATAAGATGATTTGAATTGATAATCTTATATATTTTTTTAAGAATTATTAAATAATTTAACTGTCTAAAAGGTCTTAATGGATCTAATTTTACTATTTATTGTTAATTTATAATGAAAATATTAGTTTAATCTTTCTATTAAATCATGTGTCACCATTTATATGAGGTATGAGACAAAATTTGAGAATAATTACGAATAAAATGCTATTAAAATAATATTTGATACCTATAATTACAAAACATGTAATTATAAGGTTGTGATAAAACGATATCTTTTTGTTTAAGTATAATTAAGTATAATTTTATAGATGTGGTGCGCTTAGAACTTTTAAAATATTGTATCGATCATTATGTCATACTAATATATTGTTGTAAAGATTAATAGCTTATAGACTTTTTTAGAGTATTAGGATTAGTATAAAGTGTGTAGTTTGTCGGTCAATTTTTATTAAGATTTTCACTAGCAAAAAAGTAAATGTTTATAAATAATTACAGTTGTATATATTTTATATTTTGCAACTGTTTATTTTTATA